ATCTGACTGCCAGCTTAAACCCAATCTCCTGGGGGAGCAGGCCTAAGCCAGCAGATGGTCATCCCTTGAGGGGTCCCAGACTGCAAGAGGGCACAGGTCGGACTGAGGGATCCCCCAACCAAGTGCACAAATTTTTGTGCACCAGGCCTCTAGTTGTAGTATAATCAAGTATCAACAACAAATCATGATAATTGCCAGCAGTCTGATTAATGAGATGTTCAAGTCCATCTTTAAAAAGAAGGGTGCCTTGCCGAAACCGGTTTGGCTCAGTGGATAGAGTGTTGGCCTGCGGACTGAAGGGTCCCGGGTTCGATTCCGGTCAAGGGCATGTACCTGGGTTGTGGGCACATCCCCAGTAGGAGATGTGCAGGAGGCAGCTGATTGATGTTTCCATGTTTCTAACTCTCTATCTCTCTCCCTTCCTCTCTGTAAAAAATCAATAAAATATATTTTTTAAAAAATAAAAAGAAGGGTACCTTTATTACCTGTCACAATTATTTTCCCCATTCACATTTCAGTTGCTTTTACTTTGTATAAAAAATATGCCATTGATTTTTCTTTTTTTAAATAATTACATACAGGTCTATCTCTCCCTGCAGATATCAAGATAAAAATAAGAAATCATGTCATTATCAAATAATTCTTAGCTTTACTTGCCAGTGAAGGAACATAGGCAAATCTCTATAAAATGTTTCAGGGAATTAAATTAATTATTTAGTTTTGATTTGGGGTTCTGATAAGAAGAAACTGAACAAAAGAAAAACAAGCTTTAACTGAATATTTCTCTTAAATAAAAACTTGACAAATTAAAAATATCGAGAGGGAAAACATGAGAAGCAATAATAGCAACAATACCTCAAAAGTTATATAACAATGTAGAAGACCAAGAAAAGTGGATCGTATATTGGCAGTAAGAAAAAAAGTGTAAGAATCGGCATGTTTTACACCATTGAATTCTCAGAAAATTCAAATAAATATTGGTAGCAAAAGGAAGTGTAAAATTGAGAGTGAAGAATAAAGATGATTTAAAGTTAGATGTAAATGGGTTAATGCTGTTTGAAATGTAGACAGGCCCCTACTTTGCCCTTCTTACTCAAGGGCTCTAGCACCCACCTCTACTCCTCCTAAAAAAAGGAGTGAGGTTTGTTTTCTGGAGGTAAAGCAAAGATTTTCTAGACAAGGAGACACCAGGCATAGTTAAGACATAGGCATCAACTTCTGGTTTCCTGTCCAACATGTCAGGGAGTTGGAAGTCATCACTCCATTCTAACAAGTAAAGCACTAAAAAAGTGGATAATAAACAACTTTTCATATATCCCTCAAAGGTGAAGTCACAGAGAAAATTGCTACCCCCCAAATTAGAAACACAGACAGGTGGATACACAGAATCACAACTTAGAGCAGAAACATCACCAGAAACCACTAGTGGCATGAAAATTTAAACTGTAACAAATTGCTGGGACTAAGTGTGGACAAGTCTGGGCCAAAACGCCAGAGGAAGGAGAACAGTAATTATTGTGAAAGACACCAGAGCCTTTTCTTCTTAATAAGACCCACTACTCTCAAGAGAAACTAGTTGCCAGCACCTAACCAACTAGGGTTTGGTCAGAGATTAACCCACCTAGGTAAGGGAAATACCCAACTCCAACCCACTGTGGCCACCCTGTTCCACCTGAGGGATACAGGGGATACTGATCAGCATGTGAGAAATTCACACTCCAGTGGCAGAGGTTCACGACAAGACTGAGACCTAATCACAGAAATATAGAATGCTTTCTCACTGACACCTTACCACCAGACCACTAAGGGCTGGTGTTCATTTTATCGAGTTCATTATGTCTAACTTTCATTAATGCACACTTATAAAGCAAAAAAGTCTGAAAAGATGGAGCAAGTATCAGAACCAGACTCAGACATGGCAGGAATATTAGAATTATCAGACCAGGAATGTTTTAAACTATGATTAATATGCTACGAGTTCTAATGGAATAATGAGACAGCGTGCAAGAACAAATGGGCAATGTAAGCAGAGATGAAAATTCTAAAAAAGAATCAAAGAAAAATACTAGAGATGAAGAACACAATAAAATTAAGAATGCCATTGATGAGCTCTACAGTAGACTGGACATGATAGAAATTATCTCTAAACTTGAGAATATGTCAATAGAAACTTCAAAAACTGAAAAGCAAAGAGAAAAAAAGTGACTGAAAAAAACTGAAACATTATCCAAGAACTGTGGGAAACTACAAAAGGTGCAACACAGAGGCAAAAAACAAAACAAAACAAAAACAGAAGAAATATTTGAGACAATGATTCAGATCTTCCCCAAATTAAACACCAAACCACAGGTCCTAGATTAGAACAACTGAGGAAACCAAACACAATAAATGTCAAAATAACAACACCTAGGCATATCATATTCAAACTGCAAAAGATCAACGATGAAGAATATACAGAAAAAGAAGCCAGCAGAAGAAAAAAAACACAACACTGTACCTCAGTGGTTCTCAACCTTCCTAATGCCCTGACCCTTTAATACAGTTCCTCATGTTGTGGTGACCCCCAATTTCATTGCTACAAATTGAACATAATTAAAACATAGTGATTAATCACAAAAACAATATGTAATTATATATGTGTTTTCCGATGGTCTTAGGCGACCCCTGTGAAAGGGTTGTTCGACCCCCAAAGGGGTCTCGACCCACAGGTTGAGAACTGCTGCTGTACCTATATAGGAATAACCATAATGACATCTGATGCCTCAGAAACCATGCAAACAGGAAAGGAACAGAGTGAAATGGCTATGTTGAGAGTAAATAAACACTAACCTAGGATTATGTACCCTGTGAAATTATTCATCAAAAGAAAAGGAGAGCCCTAGCTGGTTTGGCTCAGTGGATAGAGCATCGGCCTGCAGACTTAAGGGTCCCGGGTTCAATTCAAGTCAGGGGCACATGCCTGGGTTGTGGGCTCGATCCCCACTGGCAGGCGTGCAGGAGTCAGCGATCAATGATTCCCTCTCATCATTGATGTTTCTCTCTCCCCTCTCCCTTCCTCTCTGAAATCAATAAAAAATGTTTAAAAAAGAGAGAGAGAAATAAAGACTTTCTCAAACAAAGAAACACTGAGGAAATTTATTATCAATAGAGCGGCCTTTGCAAGAAATGTTAAAAGAAGTTTTTCAAAGGGAGAGATAAAGGATAGTGTGTGTGTGTATGTGTGTGTGTATAAGTGAAATGAAGATGAATACTATTCAGAAAACTAGTAATAAAAGAGAACTTGTTCAAAATTACAAAGAACATCTACAAAAATCTAATATATTTAATGGTGAGAAACTGAAAGTTTTACTAACAGGGTTAAAGAGAATAAAACAGGGCAGAGAAAATGTATTGTGTTTAGCAGGTATCTTGCAGAACGCTTGCAGCCAAGCACTGCGCAGCTTAGATAACCAGAAGACACCTGGCATCAGTAGGAACCAAGGACGGACCCGACCCTTACATCAGCAGAACAGCTTGCAGCCAGCAAGGGTTAATAAAACCTGCCTCTCCCTTCAGTCTCTGCTGATTCCTTTTTCGGACTCAACCCACCTGCACCCAGGTGCCTGAAATAATGGCTTCTTTAGATACATTATGGCCTCGTGTCACAGGTGCGCGGCCCACTCGGAACCCTTCATTTACCTCTGTGGCAAGGATATCCCCTCTCACCACACCTTTTCTCCATCATATGGGAAGTCCTAGCTAATACAAAAAAGACAAGAAAATAATACAAAAGGCACGCAGATAAAATAAGAAAAATTGTCTTTATTCACAGGTAACATAATTATCTACGTGGAAAATCCAAAAGAATCTTTTTTGTTGAAAAAGAAAGAAGCTGGAACTAATAAGTGATTATAACAAGATTGCAGAATACAAGATTAATTAATATTCAAAAGTCAATTGCTGGGAAGGTAAACCAGATGTTGTTTAAGGATATAAACTTGCAACAAGTAGTAAATAAGCCATAGAGATCTAACGCACAGTATCATGAAAATAGACAACAATATTATAGTATAACCATCAAACTTACTAAAGTAACATGTTGCACACCTTAAATTTACATAATGTTACTTGTCAAATATATTCACTAAAGACAAGTCAACTACTTTCCTATATAGATCAGCAATGAACAAATGGAATTTTAAGTTAAAAACACAAGGTCATTTAGCATTACATTAGCAATCAAAAAAAATGCAATACCTAAGTATAAATCTAACAAAATATATACAGGACTTATATAAAGAAAACTACAAAACCCTGATGATGAAAGAAATCAAAGAAATGGTGAGTTATTCCATGTTCACGGATAGAAGGCTCAATATTGCCAAGATGTCAGCTTTTCCC